ATGCTGTATTGAAGAAGACTTGAAACTAGAGATTGAGACCATAAGCTTCATGTGTTAAAGCTGCATTCTCTCTAGTGTCCACCAGGGGGCGACTCCTCTGGTTGTATAGAAGTCTATGAGAAAATGACTCTACTTCTCTCTTGATTTATTACCTCAGTAAACATTGTAAACATGAGTTTATGGTCTCAATCTCTAGTTTCAAGTCTTAAAATAAACAACAAGAAGGCGACGGCCAAAACGCTGAACTCGAGGCGTCCAAAAACAAAGCGATGAGTGACGTCACCATGACTACGCCCACGTCTCATAGACGCTCCGTGGTCGTCACTGTTCAGATAACGACAGCCAGAGGCGTCGTTTCTATCCTCGTGTTCCAGGTCACAAACCTTTTTCCTTTCAGTCCAAACTGCAGCTGCCTCCACAAAGTGCGTGCTGGTCCGTGCGTCGTGCTTTTTAATTATGACGAACTACTTCCTCATAGCTTTGAACCTTGACCCTCTTGCTCGTATAGCTGCTGCAGTAAAGGATTGTGGGTCATAAATAGCCAGAGAAGCGTGTAGCAGAACATCCTGGTATCTTGGACCACTCGGCACACATCGCTGTGTGTTTACGTCTGTTTGATTGACAGCCATCTCATCCTTTACTGCAGTTTCAGCAGCAGTGATGGCTGTGTTAACACTGGTTCTATTCATAATTAATATCTTTTGATCTAAATTCTGCAGTTTATTAATAAACGTCACTCTAAAGATGAGCACTTGTTTTTACACGTGTGTATTTATCTTCCTTAACTCGTCTTCTTTCAGACTAGAGCAAATAAAACTGTTATTTTACTACTTTGTCTGTTTACGTCTGTAGATTTCAACTAAATTCACCAAAAGTTACCGTTACATAACGCCTCATTTGCATATTTAAACATAAGATATCAGATAACTTGTAACACCAGAACTCATTGTCTTAATGTCGGCAGTGATGTGCAGCAGTGTGGTGGTGATATAGAGACGTTTAATGGTGTTTCCCATTAACTTGCATCCTTCAGCATCGCTACATAATCAGTGCTTGTTGTTCGGTGAGAATAAAGTAAAGTCGAGGAACGCAGAGCGAACGCTGTGCGATATACTTCCTGCATCTTTTGTGCCTCGTCACTCGGTAACCTTCACCTTCAAGCGCTCCTCTTCTTCATGCATCTGGAGAGGAGGAGCAGACGGGTTCAGCAGCTGGCTGCTGGAGGAAGTGAAACCCAGCTGCTCGTCATCACGCCGGTTATTTTAGGCGCGTGTTGCTGCACAGTAAGGTGCTGCTGAGCGCTGCGTTACGCCGGGTGAAGAGTAGCTCCTGCTCTCTGCATGCTGGTCCAGCAGAGTTCAAAGCCTTCAGGCTGCTTTGTGACGCGTAAGGAGGTCGGAAGGTCAACGTCTGAATGATGATGAGTAGACGAGCAACGGATCCTAACGCTCACACATCACATCAGCACCAAAGACAAGCAGCAAACCCGACTCTTACATCCCTGATCACGTTTTCTCTCTGCCGCTGATACTAGTTATTGATTATTGATGATCCTTATCAACAGATACAGATCTCTGATGTTTGATTACAGCAGCTGGTCTACAAGGATCCAGACTTTAATCATTTTAACCTCTGAAGTCAGTAAACCATCAAGAATACTAAATGTTGTACTTTTACATGTAGTCCTCTAAATCTGTCGTCTTGATCCAAACTTAAACTTTAAATATTGATGTGTAACGAATGACTTTATCTGGTGAGGAGACGTGTCCCTCGGCTCTGAATAGTGAGGTCAAAGCTTCATGTGTTAAAGCTGCATTCTCTCTAGTGTCCACCAGGGGGCGACTCCTCTGGTTGTATAGAAGTCTATGAGAAAATGACTCTACTTCTCTCTTGATTTATTACCTCAGTAAACATTGTAAACATGAGTTTATGGTCTCAATCTCTAGTTTCAAGTCTTCTTCAATACAGCATGATTTTTTTTTAACCCTTTATATTGATTCTATTCACTAGACAGCAACAACAAATGAACACCGAGCACGAAGTCTTTCTGGACAGATTGGTGACGTGAAGTCTTTATTCTCTCTCAGTGTCACTTTTCTATATCGGGGAAAGTTCTATCTTTCTCTACAAACTCTTGATTTAGAGGAGGCTGCTGGGTAATGTTACATCTGACGGGTTTAACTGCAGTGACGCATCTCATCAGGACGGAGAGGGAATGAGGGGGGGGAGGTCTGTTCGGTCAAATTGAAACTCCGGCCTCTGTTTGGTTCCGTCTCTCTTTGATAGAATCCATGTCTTCATTCTCTTTTATTCCCATTTTCAGACTAATGAATAACTGCAGATGCACGTGTCAGCTCTTCATACGTCTCACTCTAACGAGCTTCACAGTCTGAGTTCCAGCCTCAGGGCCATAATTCAGTCTGATGTGAAATCTTTAGATGGAATATCATCTGAAGATTCTTAATTAAATGAGGAAATACTCAGCACTTGTCAAGTTTCATATATTTATTTAGAAAGCGTGCTGTGTTGTGATATTTATGGTTATGGTCTGAAGAACCTGGTCTGAAGAACCTGGTCATTGTTAACACGTGTTTCTCTTTTAGGAAAAATCTTCATGGGCAACAAGAGAGAGATAGCAGAGAGCAGGATCCCCGAGCTCAACACGTACATGAAGGTAACGCCGAATGAAGCCGGCCCGCTCTGGGTCTGGGTCTTGTGCAGAGGCCTACGTAGTGGTCTTCAGCAGAAGTCTACGTAGTGGTCTTAAGCAGAAGCCTTAGTGGTCTGAGTGCTGCAGGAGGATCAGCGCTGACTCTGATCATTTCAGCAGTGTTTTTGCACACGGAGCTCAGCGTGTGGGCGTTGCTGCTCTCTGACTGTAGTTGTGGACTTTTGACACGTCAGTGTCGCTCCATCTCTAAAAAACACCACCAGGTTCTGTTTCTCCCACTCACTCACTTCTCTTTTCTGCTGCACTTGTTTTATTTTTTGTTTCCAGCCTACGTGGTTCTCTCTCTTTGCTTCACTCTCTCGCCTTCACTTATAATCTCTCTGGCTTCACCTACTCCTTTATTCCTCTTCTCTGTTGAATCTACCCTCCACCTGACTTCTGC